AAAAAATCGGTTCATTCATTCAAAAGTTATTGCTGTTTGAAAATTCAAAAAATGGTGTTTTATTAAACTTTTATCAGACTTTTGAGCTCGGAGAGCTCAAAATCACACGAAAATTAAATTTTTGAGCTCGAAGAGCTCAAAAACGTACTAAATGCAATTTTGAGCGCTTAAGTATGGAATTAGAGGGAAGTTGCAGGGATGGCCTTTAGGATCGACCGTTTTCCTAATTTTTTTGTTTCAAAACCTCGTATCTGCAAAAAAAATTACCAGGGTATTTGATGAGAAAACTCGTATCTAGATGAAATTGACAATAACAACAAGGTATCGATGCAGATAGCAAAAATCATGTTTAATTTTTTTAAGGTGACAAATAAAGAGTATAAATTTTAAATTAGTTATAATATTTTATAAAAATTAAGTAACTTTAAACGTTTTTATCGATTTACCGAAAATTACGATTTTGTAGATACTAGGTTTACACAGAAACGGAACGAATATGAACTGTTTTTTTTTTTTTTTTTATCTATCTATTTATTTATTTTAATATACCAGAGCTTATTGTCTATGGAATATACTGAACCAAGTACACGGAAAAAAAAATCGGGGCTGGTACGTTTCTGTGATAGCAACATGATTTTTTCATGTTGCTACCACAATAATGTATCATGTAGCAGCCCCTATTTTTTTTCCGTGTACGCATTAAAAAATTTCATGGATCAACATTATATATGTCACTACAATAATTATCAAAATTAATTAGATATCTAGAATTGTTTATCTCTTAGCAAATGAAAAGGCTCATCATAACGAAAATACGAGTGCATTTATTTCCATTGAATAAATAAAGCCGCTTAGGAAGTTCTCGACGGCATTCATATAGCATTTTCAGTTTAATGGCATCGTCCTATGATATATAATTATGAAGGTGAGAAAGTTGCTACTATTATTATGTATTTCAGAAAACAAAAAAAAAAGATTAAATATTTTTAATGCTATTATGTATTAAACGAATAAAATTCTGACAATAAACGAACTCCGTACAATAGCCATGCCTTGAAATTTCTCGTATTTATATATCAGTTCCAAAAGCATGAAGTGAAACCAATTGTTTTTTTCTTCTCTACACTGCGATACAATGACTCGGCTTTTTGTCGAAACATTTTGCAATTTATGAAATAGTTGAGAGGTATGAAAATCAATCGTGAATGGTGTGAAAGCGATTCCGTACTTTTTTTTTGTTTTTCGCGACCGAGCATTACTTTTAATTTTCGATCCATACGTTAAATTGAAATTATTCTTTGAATGGCTCACTTTTAAATAATGAATGATTTAAAAATGAAAATCCAACTTTATCATCAGTATCACACACAAATGAGAAAAAATATATGTCCTTCAGCTTGACAAAATATATATGTATATGTAATAGAAAAGGCATAGTCCTATAATCTAATTGCACCGTAAATTGCTACCTTTGCAGACAATAACTGAGAATGTCAGTCTCACCATTAGCACAAATCACGTTTGATCACTCGTTCCCTTTCCAATACTTAAACTACATATTATCGAGGGAAAAACTATATTTCATTGAATATATTGAATCACATACACCTTTTATCAGCCGCAGTCCTACAACTCTTTATGAATAAAAATTGTAAAGTTTATCGGGTTCAGGTTAACTACTTTTGGTTATAAAAAAGCTTAATTAATTATATAAATTATTTACTTAATTGTCCTCAAGGATCAATGAGTTCACAGATTCTATAAAATATTTTTATTGCTTCAATGAGATCGATTTGTTTTATTGGAAAGATTTCGTCAGACAAATTCTTTTAAATTTTATAATCGTATTATAACCGATGTGGAGTCGATGATAATTATCTATTATGGTCACATAGAATTTTCATGAATTAATAATTTTTCATGGTAATTATAAGCAAAATGAGTTTACTTTAATAGAATCATTATTAAATCAAGCAACGGATCATTACTTCAATTATCCGTAATGAATTTAGAATGCAAAATAATTATTCTGTGGACCCGGGTGAAAAGTACGTAATAATTGTTATAATTGATAAATTTTCACAGTATATTTTGTAAAATTCAACTCTTTGGATTTTAATTACTTGTTTTTAGAAAAAACATTTTTAATTTGTTTAAAAAAATTAAGTTATTGTGTCAGTGTTTTGTTGTTATTATTATCATTATATTTTACCAACAACATTAATTACGATAAATAAGAATTTTGGGCGCACTCTATAATTATAAACAAACTACAGCTCAAATAAACAATCGGCCTTGTAATTGATTACTATGTCAATATCATCCTATGTAGTACATTGTCGGAGCACATAAATAGATACTTACTGTACTAATAATTTACATAGTACATATTAGATGTCAATTACCCGTTTCGCTAGACGTGAATCGAAAGTTGGTTATGTTTTTTAGTAAAATATTTTTTTCTTTGCATCAGTATGTATCCGAAATAATGTTCTTAAGAGCTTTTGTAAGCGCTCATCATTTTATATTCACAAGGATAAACGGTGTAAATATTATCTAATTACCTTGTAATTTGATCCTCAAAAATCAAAATAATTTTTAGTTTTGTAAATTGACATTTTTATCATCATCAACTATAATCAACAGTACTATCATAACGTCTTAATTTTACTTACTTGATTTAAACAAAATTAACAAAATATTATCTACTTGAATATAATTATATAATTATCAATATAATTATTCAAAAAATTTAATCTAATTGTAAGTAACTTCAACACAATCATGAATTTTAGATTATAGGAAATTAACACAATTTATGAAAAAATTTTCTACTATAGCCTGATATATCCATGAATGAATATTGTTATGTCCTAATATGTTTACATCAAAACATATCTGGCTTGATATGACTTTATATGCCCATATATGGTTTAATATGATAATATAGATTTGATATGTCCATATACGTAATTTTTCGACTAAATTGAGTCTTGAAAATCTATCACGGAGGGCGCATTTTTGTTCATTATTGTTCAATCGTCGCCTTGACATAGAAATTCTCTGCAGAGAATTAAGTTGAGGTCTTAATTTCTAATTAAAAATTATTTTTTTACGTTTCTAAGGAGCTTTTTTGTCAATAGTTTTTTAATTTGATCAATTACTAGACCAATTTTTGTTTAATAAAAAATGTTAATTAACGTACTTATTTCCTGAAAAATAAAACATTGAAAAATTATAAGTACACTGAAAAAAAGTATAAGCACGATGTCGATACATTTCGGTACTATAGCAATATTTATGTAAACTATATATATGTACTTGTACGACGTTTTTGCCCCATTACAATATTTTTTTGGTAGCACAGCGATACTTGTTTAAGCTTTAAACTCATACGAACTGTTGACGCCATAATATAGTACAAAAAATATAAACCCCACATCGATACTAAGTATTGTGATGATGCGAATACTCATATTACACTGAGATTACAAATTTTTTTTTGAAAAAAACAAGCAATGTTGTAATAAGAAATAAAATTGCTGAAAATTTTCAACAAATTAAATTCTTGTCACAACAATGCCCTTCTTTCAACAGAAATTTTCTTTCTCAGTGTATTAACACACGAATACTGGTTTTTATAGTAGAGAAACCAGCGCGTTGAAATAGAGTATACGTATAAAAAGTATTTTTTAACTTCCCGCTAAAAAAAATTGAAAATTTTAAAAAATTCGGGAAGTTATTGGTTTTACCCCGTTTTGCAAAAATCGAGTTTTCATCAGATCTCGACGTTTTGAGGTCCTAGGAAGCTGTCCTGAGTATTCCCGCGATGGTGACCGTGCGGCTGGTGTGTGTGTGTGTGTGTGTGTGTGTGTGTGTGTGTGTGTGTGTAAAAACCTCTTGTAACTTTTTATCAGCTCGACCGATCGGATCGAGATAGGTGGAGATCAAAAGAGGATCATTGCCATTAAATTTCGTGAAAATTTGAATCGCTATGAGAGATTCATATGAGAAAAAATTTTACGAGAATATCTAAGTACGCGTACTCAAATACTATTTTTTGCAGCATATTATTTCACTTTAAAAAATGTATAACAATATGATTAAATTAAGTGTAATCCCAAAACTCTCCAGGACTATAATCTTGAATTCTCACAACTCAATAATTTATTATTATTATTTTTAAGCTTGTATCTACGTAACCTGAACAGTGCACAAATTTGATAGTGGTATCAAATGCTGATTAATAGCATTAATAAGACGTTTAAATTAATAAGATAGCGAATTTAATAACTATAAATTAGATCGTCTTTTAATAATATCAAGTTCTCTGACATTAGCAAGTTTTCGCAACGTGAATCTTAAAGGTCGAGTTCTTAAAGTCGCGCCAAACTATCTCAGTACGACCTAGCAAGTAAGTAAGCAGCAACCAAGTTAATTGTACAGAATAATAATAGTAACCCACGCTCACCTTCTTTCACAATTCGAATCTTCCTTACCAGACAGTACTCCACCTGAATAATCGTGTGAAATGAATATTCCAATCCCGTAATTATAATCGAACGCCAACTCTCGATACCTTATAAACACATCACAGACATTGTGATGTGTGCTAAACAACAATAACACCAACAATTACACCAATAATCGTTATTACCGATTTTGTTACTAAAAACATCCGAGCGAATTCTTTCAAGTAAAATCGTGATTTCACGGACCGATTTACGGTTATCAATCACTCTGAGCAGTAATCGATATCGTAAACGGAGAAATCATAGGTCTAGGAGTAAGTTGTGTTACCGGGGACCTCGAAGGACACCGGATCACAATTCTCGATGCACCAGACTTTATTGGGTGTGGCATTATTGACCTTCTTACGAAATGCATAAACCTCCCGTCAGTTAATATGATTCGAAGGGATCAGCGGGGGCGCGGTCAACATCCTAGAGGTGTAGGTATATAAGCCAGTGTCTGCTGTTCTAAGATACATTCTACCACCGACAGTCAACAATATGAAGGCTATTGTAAGTATCAGTGAATCAACAACAATAACTTGTGAATTCAATTAAGAATTAAATACATTCTCACTTTCATCGATGTCATTAAATAACATTACCAATTGTGATTTACTTACCGAAGTTGTATTACCGTGTCACAGATCATCGCTTTGGCTATTTTTGGAGTTGCAACTGCAAGTCGTGACCGTCGTGGTGCGATTTGGGGTGACCACGGAGTATATGGTGCACATGGATACTACGCCGGTCATCATGGACTTTACGGCGCTCATGGAGTTGCTCTCGCTGGTCACTCCGTAGGACATGCAAGTGTTGCTGGACCCCATGTAGGAGCTTCCGCTCTGGCTGGTCCAACTATTGGACCATCTCACCTTGCAGGGTCCGTTGCCGGGCCTGTCCATGTCTCTGGTGCCGTCGCTGGACCTGCGACTGTCACTGCTTCTGTTGCCGGACCTGCCCATGTTGAAGGTTATGACGGACACTACGACGGTGCTTACGGATACGGTGGATTTGGACACGGTGGATTTGGACACGGATTTGGACATGCTGGTAAGTAATTTTTATTAAAAATATGGAAATATAGAATCCAATTAGAGCTGTAGTCATTAGCTTTAATGCAAAATCATTAAACTGAAATATCATTTTAGAAAATATTAAGATTAATCAGTGGTGCAACAACTAATCTTCATTTTCAGTATTAAATAGATATACTGATTTTTAAAGTAATGGCAAAATCACAAGGAAATTTCTGTTATTTGTTTTTACAAATATGTATTATTCGTTTTTAATATAAAAAAAAAATTGGAGGGAGTAAAAAAAATCTTTTAATCGATTGAAAAATTTGTTTGAAATGTTAAAAAGATAATATTGCTCTCAAAATTTTGCACCTTATAGTGACTAACACGAAGTTTTGAATATTATAAGAAGTCACTCAATTAATTCAATTCAGTATATTTGAAGAAAAGTTCAATGTAATAAAAAAAAATTTTGAGACGTTCAGTTAAATAAGACAGTAATTGCGTGCAATCGGTGGTAAAAATTGAGAGAATAAAGAAATTTTGTCTCCATCGTATTTATATAATAAAATAATTTTTTTTTTTTAATTAAATATAGTATCATATAGGAAATATCTTAGCCTGAATTTGTGCTTTTTCAAGGTTACATTATGGTTTTTAACGATAGTTAGTACAATGTGGTAAATTTTTGGAGCGGTTTTAAATGAATTAGAATCGAATTTGTTTTGTACATGTAAATGTGATTATATGTTAATTATAAGTCCATATATTTGAGGGAATATTGATAATTTTATTACTCTCTATATTAAAATTACAAATATCGAAAAATCATGAAGCCAAAGTTTTTTTTTATTCGTAATTAGTAATTCTCGGTAGTCACACAGTGATTGCAGGCTGATAGTTAAATATTAAATAAGTAAAATTATCGTATGTGATTTTGTGACCTCACTATAAAATCTGTTTAAGATCCCTTTAACGAGAGTTATTTCGAAACATTACTTACCTCTTTCAACAGGTTATGGTTACGGCCATGGCGCCCATGCTGGTCACGGTGTCGTAGTTGTCGGTCCAGCTCACCACGGATCCATCCACGCTGGATACGGCACCCACGGAGCTGTTTTGGCTGGTCCCCATGCCCATGGCGCTGTTTTGGCTGGTCCCCATGCCCACGGAGCCGTTATCGCTGGACCTCACTCCGGTACCGCCGCAGTGTCTGGGCCTCATGCCGGTGACGTTGTCATCGCAGGACCATCTGGAAAAATCACAGCCCATGGTGCTGGTCACGGTGCCGCGATCCATACCGGTCACGGTCACGGCCACCATTGGTAAAAATTCCGACGATCTCCAAGTTTAAAAATTTCACTGCTTTTATTTATATAAATTTGTTGTTACAAATGTATATTTATAAGTTAGCTGTGAACTGCTCATATTTTAAAAAGTAAATATTGTTATGCTATTGCTGCGTTCAACTCTGTCTCATAATTGGTTATAGTAAAGATTAATATTTTTTTGTATTCATGTCTTTATTTATGTATATAACGAACAGAATTTGTATATCAAAAATAAAAAAATATATATATATTTAATAAAATTATTTGTCTACAATTGTCATCATTCTTTACTTATCAAATAGTCGTTTTTTTACAACAATTCTCTGCTAGAAAAAAAAATTATTTATGCAGAATAATAATTTGAATTGAATTGCTAAAAAATTTTGAAGTATACAGTATACAGAAAATTATTCTTTGGTCGTAAATTGAGAGTAAGCATAGTGTAAAATTTTTTAAGGTAAAAGAACCTAACAAATTAACACGAATTTTAACTTTATTCATTCGTTTAAAAAAGTTTATTTGTCTTCGATAGAATATTAAAAAATTCTTATTTATAATCGATTTTTTGAATGGCAAAACAATAATCAAAACGTTACAAATTTTAATATTAATTCAGATTAAAAATCGAGATAATTCAAGTTGAAACTGTTTAAATTCGATCAATGATTTTGAACATTATATTAATTATCATCAAAATTAAGTTAAAGGAATAAAGGTATTGATTACCATTATTGCAATTATTATAATTTTATGACCCTTGCAATATTACTCAACAAAAAGTTTAAAAAAAATATTCAATTAATTATACGTCACACACTTTAATTATTTTTTGTCAATTTTATTTTTTTCAAGCCAATATTTTACAGTTAAATCATTCGTAACAGAAAAATAATTTTAAAATATAACTAAACAATTGTAGTCCTTTCGCCACTATAGATAGTGGTGTATGCAAAATGAGGTCCATGAGATTTTTCAACTGGTATCTACGTAGTTTGATGCGAGGAATCCGATTTTGATAATTAAAAAGTTGCCAGATGGTCCAGTTTTTTGTTATTAATAGTTCAATTGTTTAAATGCAATTTATGAGAAATCTATTATCGATAGATGAAAATTGATTAAAAATTCGGATAGCTCGCATCAAAATACGTAATTAATACTTGAATCACTTTTCACGTATCTTTATTATTTTTTGAGTTATAACGTGATAAAAAATTACTATTTTTCCAATGCAGTTGATGAGTCGTTGATGCGCGCGCAGCCCAGTCTCATTCAACTGCGTTGAAAAAATAATAATTTTTAATCACGTTATAATTCAAAAAATAATAAAGATACGTGAAAAGTGATTTAAGTATTAATTACGTATTTTGATGCGAGCTATCCGAATTTTCAATCAATTTTCATATATCGATAATAGATTTCTCATAAATTGCATTTAAACAATTGAATTGTTAATAACAAAAAACTGGACCATCTGGCGACTTTTTAATTATCAAAATCGGATTCCTCGCATCAAATTACGTAGATACCAGTTGGAAAATCTCATGGACCTCATTTTGCATACACCACTATCTATAGTGGCGAAAGGACTATTGAGAGTGTGATTTCAAAAAGAACATAAGGCAGTAATAAGAAGACCTTCGAACTGAACTGACACCCTTGAGTAGTTCAGGTCAATCATAGGTCATAAAAATGTTTCAAGACTGTCCCTTCTCTTCGTATCCGGTTACGCTGTGTAGTGGTACAGCCTATGATCGAGTAAACATTTATTATCGAAAGTAAAAGAAAACTATTTCCTAGGATATGAAACAATTCAGATAGCGACCTTCGTCTTAGTACCATATAAAATTCAATTAAAAAAAACAGATAAGAATTTCGGTAGTAACCGCAGAAAAATTTGTAATAATAATTAATGAACTATTCTCAAATAATTACAAAAATTTCGAAACGAACATAATCGCTAATATGTCTCAACTACAGGATTGCTATAACGATCAAATACCCAGGAAATTACTCAGCACATTTATCAATAAGAATGAAAAAAAAAAAAAAAACTGTGGTTTCTCAAAACTATGTCGCATTACAAAACCATCAACTAAAAATGTATCACTAAATAATAACGAAATACTTTTGTCTTATCATTTATCATAATAACTTAATCTTCGTACTCAGGTTTTTGTATAATTAAAAAAAGTAAAATCAATGTTGTGAAGATATATCTGGAAAAAAATATAATTAAACTTGATGAGTCCCAAGTCATTAAATCACATTGATATACAAATAACAACTGTCTGTATAGTATCCTCAGTTTCATCACCATCACGACTTAGTCCGTAATATATATATAGGTAACTATGGAGTTGAAATATTGTGGGAGAGTGCGGAACTGATTCTCTGTTAAAACCTAAAGGTCACTCTACTTACAATCGAATGTTTGTGAGAATAGAATTGATCATGAGCACGTTTGTACATATACATACATATACGGGTAAATATCGAGATAGGATAAATTGTATAGTATAATAGTTTGACTATTGCACCTCTGACGAATACTATTGACATGATACACAGAGATAGATGTTATTCACCGATCACATCACACGACAGTATGCGTGTAGGATAGGTTTACCAAGTATTTGTTAGCGTTTATCAGTGACTAGACGGAGAATATAACATTTAGTACATATGGAGGGTAACAGTGTATAGACAACGTTTAATATTTGCCATCATCGATTTCAAGTTTAATATAGCAGTCGTATAATGTTTGCTAATCCATCAATCAATGAAAATAATTCTAATTCAATTTTTGGATATTCGTCATATGATAAGTAACACACCAAATTTCGGAGATAAGCTACTAATTATTTGAATTAACAATTCGGTATTTAGTTAAATACCATCAGATTTTATCTTTGTTTGATAGTGGCTCGTTGAAAAATTTCGTGACATGGTCTGAATTGTCGAGATAGGTCTATGGCCATACTAAAAATTTTATGTGGTCATATGTAGCCTGATATGACTTGATATGTCCATCTATAATCTTTCGACCAAAGAAAGTGTTGAAAATCTCTGACAGAGGACACATGGTCACTGAATCGTCTACTTAAAAAAGAGTAAAGTCTGAAGTGTTAATTTCGAAAATAAAAATAATTTTTTTCACTTTGCTAAGGAGCTTATCAATAATTGGTTTTTAGTTTAATCACTTTCTTAATCAATTTTTTATTACAAATTTATGAATTTCTCTTAAACAAAGAAAAAAACACTCTGCTACTTGATAAATTATTTAATTTTCTGTGAGAGTATTTTTCGAATTCTTCAAATGTTTGAAAGAAAATGATAAATTCGCAATAGCTTTGCTGGATATTTAATAAATTAGATGGCGATTTGATAATTTCGAGGTTAAACAATCCCTTCTAACGTAGCGCCATAATTATTGAGATAAGTGGAAAACAAAGATTTAATCGAACGCGGTGAATGGTGAGGTTAATTTATCAAAGGAAATCCAAATATGGAACTATTATCCTCTTGAATCGTTGGGAATAGTAGCCACTGCTAACGGAGATCGATCTCGAAGATTTATTGAATTATCGATCACGTAAATTTGTGGTCTACACAATTCTATTGAAACTAGATTCGACAACCTCTGAAATAGTACCCTACTGCAATGCTTGAATAGTCAAAAAAGGACAAAAGGTATGAGGCTTGATCGGGAGACTTGCTAGTCGGTAGATACATGCTGCTTTATAGGTACAACTGAATAACCAATAATTGGTTACGAACAGCCGCAGAGAACAAAAATGGAATAAAAATTCAGCCGTACACTCAAAATTGGTGTGCTAACGGCACATTTAGTTTACAGCTTCAAATTTAAATCTAACTTTTTCATTAATGAATCTATTAAAATTCTGCTATCGTTGTATTTAGTCAATTAAGTACACAGAAATCTGTCACCGGCTTTCATTAAATATTTCAACCGAAAAAATTTTACTTTCTTTTTACATGTTTTAGAATCGGAATACACGAATCAATAAAAAACTTTTTAATAGAGATAATATCAACTATGAGTATTTTATTTGAAAAATATGCACAACATGACATTTGGTAAGTAACATATTCATAGATTGAACATTGTAATCAATAATTAACAATTTTTACCAAATAAATGTGTCGTATTTTAGAAAACAACCAACCTAATAATTTTCGTACATTCAAATTATTTATAAGAGTGCAAAAGAAATTTTTTTTTCCAAACAAGTATGTAAAATATGAATTTTCTACTTTTATTCAGAAATTTCTTGTAAAAAATTAATACAATTTTTTTTGTTTGCTAATAAAATATTCGTTTCATAGGAATTAAGTTTGTTAAATGTTTTTTATTAAAAAAACTTCGTCCTTATTTTTATATTTTTAATAAATGAAATAAATCCTCAAAATATAAGAAAAATTTTATTTTTTATTAAAAATTTTTTTAGAATCAAAAATAATTTAGAGAAGTTCTGTTCTATAAAAAATGAAAAGAAATTTTCATTAAATGCAGCTCTTACAATTTTTGAATCTTTAATAAATGTTATACATAAACTAAAAAATTAGTAGTATATTTTTACCATAGTAATAAAGATATCGATTCCATCCAATTACAATCACTTAGCACAGAGCTCAAGCATAAAAAAAAACCTTTGAAAATAAAAAATAATTCGGAGCCACAGCGAAATAGGAAAGTACAGTAGACAGTAGCCATGTGTGATTCGAACGTAAATAGTAATCCAATCCGATTGAGAGAAAACCTTTATAGCCTAACAGAAACGTGGGCCGTAAGAATTATCCTCCACTACATAACACCGTAATAATAAAATTGATTTATAAAAAAAAGTGTAAAAACAAGCATGCGTCTAATGCATTCAATCACAATAACATTATTATGTACTTATGCAACTATATCCAATAAATATTAAAATAGATTACAGAGTTGTCATATGTGCGATGACAAAGACAATCAGATAA